GCAGCAAGCAAGCCTTGTGCTCGCTTCAGTGCCTGGCTGCCGGCCGCCATCTTGGCTGACAGTTAATTTGCATATACTCACTGATTAGCCAATGAAAAGGGTAGCGGTCGTACGCTAATTACCATGTTTCTCTTTTATTAGTGTAGATTTTGACATGTAATTTTTTGCAGTAACGTAATTACCACACGAATATTTCTTCTACTTAGTTTCCTTTCAATGTGCATAAATCCATGTACCAGGCCACTAGTATGCATATAAATCCCCAGGTTAATCTTTCCCAGCCCACCCCACTCACCCCCACCTTCCCTATGAAATTTGGTTCTTAAGCACCTATTCTATTCCAGATGCTGTGTAGGATACACATAGTGATAATAGAATAGGATCTCTATCTTCAGTAAACTCACATTAAGTATTGTTTGAGGAAGGAATGAGTAGCTTTGACATTTCAAACCTGAATACCTAGTAATCTGTTAGTAGCATTCATTAAAAAGGGGAACCAAGAAAGGAATCCATGCTCACCACTATACTAACACTACTTAAAAGGAGACCCAAAGAAAAAGATGGAACTCAAGCAGGAAGTTTGGCCTTGGACTTATTGTTATTAAGATTAAACAGGAAAAATATCCAGGTGCAGAAATAGGTGAGGGGAAGAGTGGGAGCAGTCTAGTGTTCATAAGGGATATGTTTTCCTGCTGAGGAGAATCTGAGGCTCAACTTTTATTTGAATTGAGGCTCAAATTAAGTAAAATTTCAATTAGTTTTCCTGTCGATAACCTCCAGAAAGAAATAAAAATTCAGCATTTGGGTAAGAAATTCAAAATTTAAGTAATTGTAGGATGTGGATATAGTTATGGTCATTGAAGTCAGACAGATAATATGGATCTAAATCTATGCTTGAGACCTTAAGCAAATATGTAACTTCATGAAGTGCTCATTTTCTCAACTACAAAATGGGAATAATAATAATACCTAACATATTAGTTGAGAGAATTTTTAGTGAAATTGTGCATATGACAGGCAATATAATATATTGCACATAATAAAGAATGATCAAGTTATGTTGATATAATTATTTTTACTACTAGAATTTTAATTAAATGCCCTTTTATAAAGTCTTGAAGACCAGGAAGCCAAATATGAAAAGTTCTCCAAAAATAAATATTTTTCTTATGTTTAACTTCATATTCAGGAAAAAGAGCCAATTTTTTAAATAAACTATAATTTTCTGGCATCAATTACCTTGAATGTTCTGTACTTTCATCTATACATAGGATGATGGTGATTTATATCCAGATTTATGAACCTAAGGCTCTCAGAGTTTCTCAGTTATTAAAAAAATTAGTTGAATTTAATGAAGACAATTCAATCATTCATTCATTCATTTGTTTATTCAACACACATTGGATGCTCTCTATATGCGAGGCACTGTGATAGATATTGGAAATACAGACTAGGAATAAGGCTTTGTCTTCACCAGGTTTACAGCCTAGTGAGGAGATTTAAAAAAAATTACTTTACTAATGTGGAATTGCCAAGTTTGATAAGTACCATGGATACAAAGTACAGCGAGTTATAACCTCATGTTGTAAGGAATCTGATCTCTTTGGAAATTCAAAGAAAGCCTCCATGGAAACGTGATGATTGAGCTGTGCTCCAAAGAGTCAGTTGAATGATAGAGGGAAGGGGAAGAGTTTTCTAAGCAGAAGCAAAATAGCGTATGTGAAGACTCTGCACAAGGAGGGTGCTGTGTAACTTAGAGAAGGAGAAAGAAGGGGAATCAATTCCGACCACTTAGTAGATGTGGCAGCAATAGGGGAGCATCATTTGGACCTTCATTCCGAAGAGCTTTCTCTGAGAAGCGTGGCTGCCTGGCAGCCTCTAGCCAATGCACTTTGGACCCCACAAAGTGTTCATATTTAGTCAAGGTTTTTGCCAGACTTCTCCCAACCAATGACTAAGTACAACAGGGATTCTAAAGCCAGGCCGTTCCCACTTGACATGAGATACTTCTAACAGAACACCTTTGCTTAGAGACTTCTCATCAGCCTGGCCAATATTTTCTCAGAGTTGCACTGTAGTCTGAGGCTCTTCCTATTTATCCCCCTTCCCCCCCTTTCTCTTCTTGCAGCTTGTAGGTATCTGCATAGTGACCTAAAGGCTCATTCCCCTTTCCCTTTATCATTCGCACACTTTAGATCAATCTCCCATGTACCATTTTCATTATACAATGTACCATTCCTGGACCCACCTGACTTGAAATTGGTGGCTCTGACATGACCAGCCTATAATGGGTATTTCCAGGACCATGTTATTTTGGTGCCCCACAAGCAAGTCTTCTGTTTCTATTAGGACCTAGTAACACATAAGGAACTATTTCTCAAAATAAATGGTGTTTCTATTGCAGATGGCATTGCCTTGCTCCAGAATCTCAGGGTCCTATGTTGTGATTCTCTCAACAGGGTTTACCATAAACTTCCTACTACATCTTTTCCACCACTGACACGATTCCATAGGATCTGTACAAGGAATATGTACTGCAGCCTGCACCTCAAGAATGATCTCAAGACCATCAAGAATGCGCTGGTGAGAGAAACATCAGCATCACCCAAAAGTGCACTGTGGCTCTCTCTAAAGGCTAGTTCTGATGGCATGAAAGGGGTATGATGAAGGCCCTATTACTTGAGGTGACAGTATTTAAACACCGGAAGCCAGAACCACTGTGATCTGGGCATTCTCTTCCACTAGATATCTTTCTAGGTCCACACTAGTGAAATCATCAGCAATTATAGTACAATAGTATGCCAGGAATCTGTCCCTCACATTCCACTCAGGATGGGACCTCCTTGCCAGTTGGTCATGAGTGAACCAGTTCCCAAATTTCTGTTTTCTCAAACTACTCTCAAGATCACTGGGT